TAGTTCTGATCTTTCAGTATCCATTTTCCTGCAGAGCCTCTAATGTTCCTTGATTCGTGTACTAATTTTTCCTTCCTGTTGCCAATATATTTCTGTCCGCAACCCCCGCATGATATACATTAAACTCCTGAACAGTCCAATTTGTCTACCCTTTCATGTTGCGTTGATAGACTTGTGAAAAGTGATGATTTCTCCTTCATGACCACATAAATATTCCATTTACTCAATATTGGTCGTAATTTTTGAGCTAGTTCGCAGGAAGACAGGCATATCCACTTTGTGAATCCTTGATCGTCCTTACTGTCCTTTCATAGTCCCCGTTCTGCCATCGGCTTTTCACGGCCCGTATGTTTCTTTGTATCACTTAGCTTGGGTAGCCATTACCGAGGAAGATCCTAGTCAACTTCTCCAGCTCCTCGTCCCAGAATTCTGCATCCGTCAGGCGTGGGCTTCGGATGATCATGCTCCTCATTATTCCAATCATTAGCCTGTAATTGTGATGGGACCGGAAATTGAGTATTATCCCAGAATAGGACTTCTTTCTGAACAATTTCTTATTCAGCGTTCCATTAGAACGAATCATTTCAACGTCCAGGAGCGGCAACCGCTCATCTTCCTCTACTTCCTTTGTGAATTGAATTTTCGCATCAATCTTGTTTACAAAATTCAGAAACTCATCTAGTTTTTCTCTTCCATGTAACCAAAGTGCGAAGTAATCATCCAGTTACCGCATGAGCACTGTCGGTTGTAGAGGTGGCGTCTTGAAGCTCTCTTCTATTTTGTTCATGTATACATTTGCCATATGTCGTGAAAGCGGCGATACCGTGGGAAGTCCAAAAATCTTTTCATAGATGTTCACGTTGAATGTAAAATAGGTGGTCCTTATTGTCAAGTTGATTAGTCTTGTTAACGACTCCCTCCTGATCCGTTGTGATTGCAGGATATCCTCCTCTCGGTCCAGAATTTCCAGTAGGGCAGTTAGTGCCTTTTCTTTAGAGATGTTTGTATACATGGATTTCACATCGAAACTTACCAATAAGTCCGTTTCTTCCAGTGCCATGTTTTTGATTTTTCGAGAAAACTCATATGAATGTTTGACCGTGTTTGATAGCCTCTCATTTAATTTATTGAGTTTCAAACATATAAACTTTGCCAATTTGTGTGTTGCTCCATATTTGTTGTTAAATATGAGCGTTAGTAGTGCGTCTCCCTCGTGTATCTTCGGTAATCCCTATGCTGTTGGTGGTCGTGCATCCTTTCTTATGATTGAATTTCTTGTCCATGCGTCAATCTCCCCATTCATATGAATATCTTTTAGCATGGCATTTAAGATTCCATTGATCCCATTGATCGAAAGAGAGGGGTCGGTGTAAATAGCATGTGTGATGAAACCACACTCGGTTTGCCACAAAAGGGCACACATTTTGATGATTGGAATGTAAACAAGTGAGAAGTTGTGATAGGGCGATAGTGGGATAAGAGGGCAAAGAGTAGATAGATAGACAATGACAGAAAGAGGAGTGTTAGTGTAATCGTTTCCAGCAGAACTGTTGTCGAGGTATTGACTTGACTTGTCTCTGACGCGTTCGTATCTTGGTGCGCGAATGGCAAGGCTCACTGATGATGCCGACTACGATGCTGGCGAAACGTTTAAGAATGTATCAAGTCCACTGTTTGATGCTGAGAATCCTGATAACTACTATGGCAAACGACTTCGGACTAGGTGCGTTATACATAGTCTCCCTGAGCACAAGGCTAAGTTGCGAAAACGAGGTCAACCCACTTCTATAAATCGAAAGGAGACTGCGACCATAACAGAGGCCACAACATCTTGGTCTACATATATTCAAAAATTACTTGTGTTTACTTAATAGACTGAAGTATAAAGAGGGAGTTGTGCCGACTGCAAAAAGGAGGCGACGCAACTAGTCTTTTCTTATCTTGGTTCTAATCATAGTCACTTCTCTGTACATTTAGCTCATTCTTTCTCTCACCCATTAAGACAAAAATCAAAAAAATTTCATTAACAAAACAAGACGAGTGTCCAACCTTGCGCAATCGGAGTGATTGTTATAACATCTATGTATAAAAAAGGAGATAGGGGTCATCAAGCCTTTATGACCAAAAGCAGAGGCTCCTTTTTGCTCTCCTAATTACTGCGGGTTTCGTGCATAGGCGAACAATAACAGGCACATACACACACAAATACAGACAGACTCATAGGCTTCGAAGTTGGCATATGACCTTAACTAACCAAATCACTTTATACTTGATCAAAGAGGCCAGATGTACCACTTTTTAGGGATTTTCCGGTGAGTTTTCTTGACTCTTTAGCTTGAATTTTGTTGTGACGATGTTAATTCACTCTGATGATGTCCGTCATATGACGGACGAAAGCTTAGCACCTTTTCACTGGAATCAGAGGAGATTACCTTGGAAACAGCGTCAGCATGAATCTTCCAGTATAGCCAATCGACAGCTGGTCAAGAGGGGTCCACCGTTGTCTTCTGCTGGACCCGAACTTCTAATCTCTTCACTAACACTTTCACTCGAAATGGTAGTAATCTCAACAATCTCTATTTGTTGCGGAAATTCAAAATCCGATTATATACTTCACCTTAATCAAACTTTGTTGAATCAAGTGATAATTAAAGCTGAATAAGACAGATTAAAGATAGAGCTTAAGCTAACGGAGCTATTAGGCTTAGGCTAATCCGGCCCTGCTAAATGTAAATGGATGTTGGGAGGGAAGTGAAGCGAGAGAATGAGAACTGCGAAATCATAATTATAAGTAGAGAGAAAGCACATTGGCCTCAGTGAGATAGTTGTACACGGAGCTGGTAATATGACTAATTCATCTAGTGTGGCATATATATTTTAAATGATAGCGAAATGATAGTGCCTATAATACAAACTGTAGACCGAATTGAGAGCAAGCCGATATAATTTTGGTGTGGGAGATTGCGTGGTGGATGCATCAATGACGAAAAATAAACTAACAATTATGGTAGTGTGGAGACTAAGTCATAGAAAGTGGGAGTCAGGTCTCGAAATATAGGACTAGAGGCTATGAGATGTGCCAGACTTTCGGCAAAATGTCTTGGGAGGAGAATAGGCAACGTTCCGATGATAGGGGAAATCAGAATCATAATAAAAGGGAACATAGTAGGGATTACGTTCTTCGAAGTCTTGTAAAAAACTAAATTATGTTGCAAAAACAAAATACGAGGCAGATGTGCTTACCTTATTTGGTTTAAGGTGATAAGGGACTGGTAGTTAAATTTTCCCACGATGATAATAATAGAGGCTCAGGCATTTTCCCATGTCACATTCTGTGGTGGGATTGTCGATGAATCAAACTTATATTTGCTATAACAATAATTGACATTACCTATATTTCGTTTCGATTAGGCTTTCGAGACTACGAGAAAATGAGATATATTAGCTATGTTAACCATATTTCGTTTACAGTGACTAAGGGCTGGTAGTGCTTACCGTGCCGAGTCCTGCTGAGGGTGTTAATAAGACCTAGGTGAGGTCGAGACTGCAGTCTACCCTGGGTGAGAATACCTTTTTGGAATGCAAAACCGTGTAAAATTCAATGGGATAGTCGTGTCTACTCATAGGACAGTAAGAAAATTTAATTACTAGTCCTTTACCACCTTAAACTAAATAGGGTGAGAACAGCTCATATATCTGCTTTAGTAGTAATCTCAAAAACCTGCTTACAAACGAAAAATATAAGTAACTTTAGGAGGCCCTACCATTCAGGTTTAATGAAATTATTCACCGGGTAAAGATAAACTTTTAATATGGAGAATATAAGGTTATTTAAGTCTATAGATGTTTAGGCAAAACTCTGGCGAGATTTAGCCAGGATTTTCAAAAACTCCAGAGTATGGGCGACAATAAGTCGCGTAGTATCTTTGACTTAATAGCATAGCGACATGAAAATAAATTGCTTTGACATGAAATAATAAGACAGCATAAATCAAAGCCAGTGTGCCCAATTAGTGAAGTTTCCGAAGTGACAAGACATATTGATAACTATGACAATAGGGAAAAAGGGGTGAATTTATCCTCGCGTACTCTCTACCCCAAAGCTATCACGATCCTCAAAGAGAGCTAAATTTTTCTCTTTTAAACTACTGAAACTTTCTAGAAGACATCGTTGTGCAGATCATTAATATCTCCACTAAGTTCCAATAGGAGACAAAACGGGAAATGGAGATTAAAATAATCCCACATCAGGAGCATACAAAAAATAACAGATTAGCGTAGATACACAGGATTCTAAAAGAGAATGAACAATTAGATCCTTGGGTGGATAAAGT